TTACTGTACCTGTGCTTGGAACAAATTGGTTTTGAGTGTCAGATGTACACTTTGCAAATCAGCAAAATGTGTATTCTCTGCGTGATTTGCTTCCCTGTTCTAGTGGTATGCTTTGATGAGAACAGATTGTGGGGTGAAGATTAAGGTCCTCAGTTTATACGTAAGTGATGGAAATGTAATCTGAGTTTTAGCCAGAAATAATTTGTAAAATCAACATTTGTATTTAAGAGGACATTAAACTTCCATTTTTCAAGTCGATCTGTCAATGCCTGTTAGGAAAAGTGTGGAAGTATAGTAGTTTAGAACACCTTTTTTTTGCACTTCTTTGCATTTTCCTTCAACAATCACCTTCATTCCCCATATTACCAGGAGGAGGTTATTGTTAATACTTAAGTATATTTTGGCTTAGCATTCATATAATAGTTGAGGCATCTGAAATCAGGCCTGGAAAGAGATAGCTTGCATATATGTATTTTTCCTCCTCTGATTAGATTGGGTGCCTAGATATTCCATTTTATTTTATATTTTATCATTAGAATTATTATTTTTACTGTGTTATTGTCATATGTACAAATTAATACTTCTCATTCAGATTATGAAAAGAGTGCTTGTTTTTAAAAAGGTAGAAATTATTCCACTTCTAAATCCTGGTGCTTGAAAATAATACACATGCATGCACACACATACACACACACACACACACAAAGAATGAATTCAAGAGTTAAACTAGAGTATGATGATGTCAGATCCCTCATGAATATGACAGTACTGTGGGTCTTTAATACCTATGTATGTCTATTAAATTTTTAAATTGCTTCTTTTTTGCTTTTGTGGATTGATGCTCTTGGGTTTTGGTGCCTGTAAAGTGTAACTTTTGGCCTTTTGAGGATTTGATTAACAGTACCAAGTGTTTTATGCATTGTTTGAGCATGAGTTTGGTGTAATTTGTTAGACCAAATGCACTATAAAAAGATAGAATTACCTGACAAGTAGAAGATGGAAGAGAAAGAAGCAAAAAGAAAATGAGTTGTTTGAAACATCGAATCATTGGTCTGGAGAAGGTTTGAAAGTGATTTTCTATTTCCTTTGCAGATGGAATTGCCTCTGAGGAATCTTTATTTTAAATTCTGTTTTTCTCCTGATGATCCCTGGTGGAGAAACCAAATTTTTGTTTTTGGAAGTAAAGTGAAGGAAATCTCGTATTAAACAGATAGGGCAGTCAGTCTTAGGGGAAGAAAGTAAGTCACACCATATGTGGTCGAAGGAACCTGGGTTAAAAGGCAGCGTGGAATTCTAACCCAGACTTTGCTGCTTGCTTATAGTATATTTCAACCAACCTGGGCTAGGAAATAGACTGGGCTTGAAAATTTGATTCTTTGTTTATGAGGTTGAGTAGTGCATATGTTTAGTCATAGAAATGGCAAGAGATCCTTTCCATAGGTGAGAAATGTTAAGAAAACTAGAGCCATGTGGTAGGTCTTAAAGTAGAAAAAACAGTATAGTTGAATGTCAAAGAGGAAAAGGTGGCAAATTCTGCCTTTTTAGGAGGAAGAGAGGACAAATCAGAGAGGATAAACGGAGAAGTGAAAAAAAGAAGCATTTATTGATACAAAATTAGGTGTTTCTCTTTTAAATGTCCTTGTTCTTGCTACATATTAAACTCCCCTGCATGTGTAAGTTTGCATGAGTATTAAAATCCGCTTTTCTGTATATCTGACTTGAGAACACATTGTTGGTTTTGGTGTCTTGTCTAGTATCTCTAATCTGATTTGAAACATAGAACCAACATTTTTATTATTATTCTATACAACTGCAATGTTAAGATTCATACAAATTTTATTGAATGCACTTTAGGTAGCAGATATTTTGCATGCTCTGGGGGGTTTTAATTCTTATTCTGGGAGTTTGGACTCAGGCCCTTGGGCTCTGGTCCAATAGTAGAAATGTAAAACTTGTCTATTGTTTGTAATAATGTAGCACAGGCTGAGAACATTCTCCCAACAGCTAATAGCATAAGTGTTTTTTACCTTTTCTAGCTATAAGGAAAGGCAATTGAAGAGGACCTGGGATGCAGGTGACTACTGGGAGAGCAGCCTCTCCGTGTCGATTTTTAAAACTATCACTTCACCCCAGGTCTTGTACATGAGACCTAGTAAATTGTGACCATCTGAAATTTAGAAAGCAGAGGCTGGTGGCATATAAGGGGTCTGGAGGTTCATTCAAGGAAGCCAGGAAGCAGGCAAATTTTTAATTGGTAAAATTTTAGAAAAACAAGCCTGGAATTCAGGCTTCTCATTTGCCTGTCAGCTAGCCACTTTTTGTGGGGGTGGGGGCAGGAGTGGGGTTGGGGGTGAGTGGGCAAGGTGGAATGAGAATCCAACAAATTGGTCTTGAGTGTCAGATGTACACTTTTTAAGCCATCAGTATCTAAATGTATAGTTGGAGTACATTTAATCAATAAATAAAGTGATGAGAGTCTATTACAGGGCACCAAAAGGACTGGCCTGAGAACAAATCAGTATCATCTTCTAATCTGTATCTTCTTAATCTCCATGTTCCTTCTTTATAATTTATCTCTACTGACATTTTTGATTTCTTTTCCTTCTTAGATGTACAGGTCTTGAAAGAATTTTAGCCACATCGGCTGCAGTTTCTCACAACACCTGTGTTCAAGTACACTCTGTTGATCAGATCTTCAGGGGAAGAACCATTACAGCCTGCTCAGATCTCTCAAGCCCTACTTGGCAAACAGGGTTCTTCAACTGGTCTTTTGAAGCAAGTTGTACCTACTGTCTTGACCACTGTGTGACCTTCTCCCTTCCTTCTGATTCCTGTGGGTCTATCCTGCTGAGCTGAGAGCTGGACCAGGAGCTACTGTCCTGTCCTCTCTTCTTTGCAACCTACAGGCAGTTCAGACTTCCAGCTTTTTCACAAGCCTCCTTTCTGCCACTGAGCCATAAGCCCACTCCATTTGTCAATATTCCAATAGAGTCTCACTTGCACTGTGTTCTGTGATTCTTTATTATAAGCAAGACTGGACTATTACTCCAGTACCCTTCAGTTTCTGTGTCATTGCAAATCATAGGCAGCAACAAACTGTAGAAGTAGTACTTTGAGAGATGAGCTTGTGAGTTTGATGTTCAAGTGACATAATTACACTATTTTTCCAGAGGTGGTTCCTCCCCTTTGTTCCTCCCCTTGCCATGACATGGCTTGAGGCTATTTATGTAGAATAAGGAAAGCCCTAATTCACTTTGTAGTTGATCACTTGGGTACTATTAATTCTGCTAAATTTATAGGGTTTTTTTGCTTCTTCCCACTGGAGATCTTTCTAATCAGTCTTGCTGGGTACATTGAAGAACCTTTTTGACTAAGGGACTTCATCTTTTTAAATTACAGGTTCCATTACAGCTTATAGAAAGCGTTGAATGCCGAGATATATTTCAGCTTCATTTGACTTGCAAAGACTGCAAAGTTATAAGGTACGTTTGTGCAGCTTGTTTTGTGTGGAAAATGTTTTTTAAAGAATGAAGGGGGCCAGGGTTGTGGCTCAGTGGTAGAGTGCTTGCCTATCATGGGTGAGGCACTGGGTTCATTCCCCAGCACAACGTAAAAACAAACAAACAAAATAAAGATATTGTGTCCATCTACACCTTAAAAAATGAATATATGGTTTGGTAAACGTGGCAAAATATCTTATTGAAAGTAAGCACTGTTAGGAATATTTTCTGAGTAGTTCCTACAATATTTTTTTGAATATTTTGCTTATGTTGACAAATGCTTTATTTTTCTTTTTTTTTTTTTAATTTTAATTGTGGGTTGTTCAAAACATTACAAATTTCTTGACATATCATATTCCACACTTTGATTCAAGTGGGTTATGAACTTCCACCTTCACCCCATACACAGATTGCAGAATCACATCAGTTACACATCCATTGATTTACAAATTGCCATACTAGTGTCTGTTGTGCTCCGCTGCCTTTCCCATCCTCCACCCTCCCCCCTCCCCACCTCTCCCCTCCCCTCCCCTCCTCTCTCTCTACCTCCTCCACTGTATAACCCTGAGGGTCTCCTTCCATTACCATGCAATTTCCCTTCTCTCTCCCTTTCCCTCCCACCTCTCATCCCTATTAAATGTTAATCTTCTTCTCCTGTTCTTCGTCCCTACACTGTTCTTAGTTACTCTCCTTATATCAAAGAAGACATTTGGCATTTGTTTTTTAGGGATTGGCTAGCTTCACTTAGAATAATCTGCTCTAATGCCATCCATTTCCCTGTAAATTCTATGATTTTGTCATTTTTTAATGCAGAGTAATACTCCATTGTGTATAAATGCCACATTTTTTTTATCCATTCGTCTATTGAAGGGCATCTAGGTTGGTTCCACAGTCTTGCTATTGTGAACTGTGCTGCTATGAACATCGATGTAGCAGTGTCCCTGTAGCATGCTCTTTTTAGGTCTTTAGGGAATAGACCAAGAAGGGGAATAGCTGGGTCAAATGGTGGCTCCATTCCCAGCTTTCCAAGAAATCTCCATACTGCTTTCCAAATTGGCTGCACCAATCTGCAGTCCCACCAGCAATGTACAAGTGTACCCTTTTCCCCACATCCTCGCCAGCACTTGTTGTTTGACTTCCTAATGGCTGCCAATCTTACTGGAGTGAGATGGTATCTTAGGGTGGTTTTGATTTGCATTTCTCTGACAGCTAGAGATGTTGAGCATTTTTTCATGTACTTGTTGATTGACTGTATGTCCTCCTCTGAGAAGTGTCTGTTCAGGTCCTTGGCCCATTTGTTGATTGGGTTGTTTGTTTTCTTATTGTCTAATTTTTTGAGTTCTTTGTATACTCTGGATATTAGGGCTCTATCTGAAGTGTGAGGAGTAAAGATTTGTTCCCAGGGTGTAGGCTCCCTATTTACCTCTCTTATTGTTTCTTTTGCTGAGAAGAAACTTTTTGGAAATAATTTCAAGTTTTTTAAAGTACAAAAATAAAAACAGCATAAAAGGTGAATAGTACAACAGGTGAACAACAGAGTCACCTGTAGTTAACACTTTACCCCAGTTTGCTTTATCATTCCCAGAACACTTCTGAGTATTATGATGTGTGTGTGTTTTGGTGGGGGGGGGGGGGTGTGGGAGGGGAGGAGAGTTTCCTGAACAAATTGAGAGTAAATGACCTAAACATGATTCTAATCCCAAAATACTTGAGTGCTTTCTTAAGAATAGGGATGTTTTCTTCCATAACCATGGTATCATTCTCAACATCACAGTTTTACATTGGTAATACTGTTATCCAGACTACTATCCATGTTCCCTTTTTTAAAAAAAATTTAGTTGTAAGTGGACACAATGCCTTTATTTTTATCAATTTATTTTTATGTGGTGCTGAGGATAGAGACCAGTCCCTCACCCGTACTAGGCGAGCGCTCTGCTACTGAGCCACAACCCCAGCCCCAAATTCATGTTCCAATTTTGATAGTTGACCCACCTCATTCAGTGTGGGAATCCAGTGTAGCTCAGATAATAAATACATTTAGTTGTCATAATTCAATAGCCTTCTTTTAATCTGGAACATTTTCCACAACAGCCTTTCCTTGTCTTTTGTGACATCTACATTATGAAGAATATGGTCTTTTCTTTTAATAGAATGTTTCTTATTTTGTGTTTGTCCTAGGTTTCATCGAGATTAAATTGATGTTATACATTCCCAGCTGGAAATACTGTGTATTCAGTTGGAATTTTGTATTGTGTCCTTTTCAGGGCATTATTGTGTTGCATCCAGAGGTGAACAGTCTACTTGTCCCTCATTGGTGAATTTTGATTATTTCAATCAAGCCGTCATCTGATTTCTGTGTAATTTCTATATTTTCTTCCTTACAACTAATATAGTCTAGGGAAACACTCTGAGAAAATGTCTTGCTTCTCATCAAAACTTCTCCATAAATTTACCACTCATTGATTATTTTTATCTCATCTAATTTTAACTATAATGGTTGCAGAATGATATCTGAAATGTGCCTTTTAAATTTAGTAGCTCTAGAAATTTTAAATTCTGAACATGGTTATTTTATCCCTTTGACCTGTTTTGAGATACCAATAAGCATTGTATGTCAGCATGTCGATGAGTCAGATTGATTGGGACAAGGAAGAGGTATAAATGCTGTCCTTATTAGTTTTCAAGTAAATATTGAAGTTGCATGTTAGCCAGTGAGATTTGGTTTACTTATGATGATAGCGACTATCACTCATAGTTTTACAAAGTTTGCTTATTAATTACTCAGTCTTAAACCTCAAATACTTAATTGCTAAAAAAACAGTTGGCATTTATTATTTTAACCTCTTAATTGTACATAATGAAAATTGCAATTGATAAGATAGAATTTGTTTTGTTCTGTGCATGTTCACAGCTGAAAATTTCAATGTAATCTGTCTTATTTGTATCCAGACATGCTGATTTGTCCTCATTGCTAAACAGACAAATTTTGATTACTCCCTAGCTGGCTAAAAGTAGTATTTGTGTTTTGTTTTGTTTTTTTAACCTTAGCCTAAAATGTCATAACAAACTAAAAGGACTCTTCAAAATATATTTCTTGAAAGGGACAACCATAATACTGATTGAAGAAGTAGAATGAAATCTCATTCTGAAAGACAATAACTGCAATTTTATTTTAATTATTATAATTAATCCTTATAAGGAGAAGTTTCATTAGATTATCAGATTTTCCAATGTCCAGCTCTCGTCTTTTTTTAATATTTATTTACTTTTTAGGTGTAGATGGACACAACATAATGCCTTTATTTTTATGTGGTGCTAGGATCGAACCTGGGTCCCGCCCGTGCGAGGCGAGCACTCTACCGCTGAGCCACAATCCCAGCCCCAAGCTCTCGTCTTTTTGATATTTTGCACTGCTGGCTAAAAATTTTTGGAACTGTTTTTTTTTATTATAAACAGTAGTGAATATGTAAATGATTGCCTTTGATGCTTTCTGTTCAGTTAGTACTTCACTATAAATAGACACTCTCAAAATGGTGCCTTTTCTTAGATTTCATAGTCAGCTGTCATCTGATTATATTCGTACTTGTTTGACTTTACAAAGGTGTCAGTTCTCAACCTTTGAACAGTGTCAAGATTGGCTTAATCGACTGAACAATGCAATCCGACCACCTGCTACAATAGAAGATCTCTTCTCATTTGCATACCATGCTTGGTGCATGGAGGTCTATGCCAGTGAAAAAGAGCAACATGGAGACCTGTGCAGACCAGGTAACCCTTTCTAAAATGGGGCTGGAGGTAACCTTAATACAAAATGGGGAGTCTTAGTACTCTTATATTCCAATCAATGTATATTTTATGGATCATAGCAGGTGCCTATTTTCTTCTAATCCTTTTAAGAACATATTGTTGTCAGGGGAAGGGAAGAATAAAAGATTTGGTAATGTGTTCTATACCTAAAAGCAACTATAATAAGGTTCATGGGTATTATGGAATCCCATTTGAAGGGAGTTGTGAGTTTTGTGTATAAGTTTGGGAAGACTTCACATTAAAATGACTTTTGAGCCGGGTGAGGTAGCACACACCTGTAATGTGACTCAGATGACTGAAGCAGGAGGATCATGAGTTCAAAGCCAGCCTCAGCAGCTTAGTGAGGCCCTAAGGAACTCAGGGAGATCTTGCCTCTAAACAAAATATAAAAAAGGTCTGAGGATGTGGCTCAGTGGTTAAGGACCCCTGGGTTCAATCCCCAGTCCAAAAAAGGCTTTTGAGTAGGCTTTGAAGGTTGAATAGGTGCTCATTGATTAGAGAATGGGGAACATTAGAGGGCAAGTAGCATGAATAGAGGTACACAGGTTTGAGAATAGGGAATACAAAATAGCTTTTTGCTCTCATAGAATTTTCAAGGCATAAATTAGCAGTAGTTTCCCCTTTCTTCCCAAAGATGAAGAAACAAGAAATCCAGAAAGGCAAATTTGTCTTCCTCACTGACAAATACAGAAACGCTGAGCCAGTACTAAAACCCAGATTTCCTGAATCCTCATATAGTCCTTGTCTCTTCCAGTTTCTTTCTCCCTCTGATGTGGCTTTGACCAAGATCATGTTATTTCTCTGCATGCAGTTTTCTGTAAATGTTATGCTCCCATAAGTGGAACTTTGCTGGTCCAACAACAACTCTTCAGTGTGTCTTGAATTTAAAAGCATTGGAAAGTTGTAAGCTCCCTTACTTTTGGGACTTTTTTCTTTAAACCTGAAGTTTTAATACTTAATCTTCAATTTTCGGTGTCTGCCCTGGTCATTTAAAACATTTGAGGCTAAAGGGTCTATGTTTATATTACTTTGTATCCTGACCCATCAATGATGGAAGGGAAGCTTTTGGTTCAGATTCTTGTCCTGTTTAATCAAAAGGCTTATGACAAACATAAGCCTTGTCTTACTTTAAATGATGTTTGATATATACTTTTGCTTGATTCTTATGACTTCATCAATCAGGCAGGATAGGTTGGTATCCTTGTTTTAGGAGCCAAAGAAATGGAGACTCAGAAAAAGGAAAGAAACACAAGAAATGGGGAGCTTAAAGGTAAAACCTGTTGCCATGTTCTCCTACTAGTCAGTAAGCAAGGTAGGACTTAAAACCAGTCCTCAGTTATTGAAAGCCAAGGTGTGGGGTGCTATGGCTACCTAGTGTGAAGAACAGAGGTACCTACCCTCATGGAGCCTCAGGGGCAGCCTCAGAATCCAAAGTCTACTGAGCCTTTCTAGGCTAGTGGAACCTAGTCATTCACAAGAAACAGTCCCCACCTTGAAATTTTCTTACTTTCCTTTCTTGATAGGTGCCCCCTCTTTTTCCTGTTTTTCATTTTTCTTGAGATGCTGTCATATTTTAAATTTATTTTTGGATTTGTTTATGGCTCTTTTTAAGTTTGGAGGATTTTAATGGTAAAGTTTACAGGAAACAAACTGTACAAATCTTATGTGTTATGTTTTCTGAGTTTTTAATCATTGCCTCTTATTTATGAAATTTTTAGTTTCCACCATCTCCTAGGATAATAAATTTATTTAAGAGTGCATCATACTTCATAATGTTATATAAGAATTGTGATTTGTTTAGGATCCCTAACTCTAAAGAGACATTTCCCAATTTGGGGTTGTCAGCTTTTGTCAATAAGGCTTACTTTCTTCTGTCCTTTGCTTTCACTGAAAAGTCCTCATTTAAAAAAAATAAATTTAGTCATCAATGAACCTTTATTTAGTTTATTTAGATGTGGTTCTGAGAATTGAATCCAGTGCTTCACACGTGCTAGGCAAACACTCTACACTGAACCATAACCCCAGCCCCAAGTCCTCATCTTTTTAAGAAGATTTATTTATTCCCTTGATACTTTCAGTTTCTTTTGTATTTAAGCCAACTCTTAGGGTATTCCTAACATGTGCTAAGTCAGAACCCCACTCTTTTTAATTATGGGTGGCTTTGCCTTAAGAGGGGTCCCCAAGTTCTTCTCTTCCTGATAATGTCTGGTTTCTTGGCCATCAGGACTTAGAGATATCTACAGTGTCCTCTGTCTTCCCACAGGCTTATTATACATGTAAGTGGTAAAGTTCTGATTTTGGAGTTCGAAAACCTGAATTTAAACCTATACTATTTATTTGAAAATAATATCAGATAAGTCATTCATCCTTTCTGCACTTGGGTCTCCTTTGTTCTTCAAACTGGGATATTCATACTCTTCCTGTTCGTACTGATTCAGCTGGATGTCCTAAAGAGCAAATCTTTTAATGCTACAGAGTTCAGTTCAGTAAATGTTTTGGGTGCCTCCTATGAGCAATGCTTGTGAAGACTCTTTGAAAGTTATGCAACTTACAAGGTAATGCTGTCATAACCAATGTTGGAGATTCTCTGAGTAAAGGTTACACTTTGTTCCTTCCCAAGACACAGGGTCCGTGCTGAAATCAACCTGCCCCTCTCACATGGAATGTTATTGTATTTTAGTGTCCTTAAGTGTGTTGTATTATGGCTTTTGTCCTTTTATGTATTTTCACTATGGACTACAGAAGAAAAATTTGCTTTCAATAAGAAACAGAATACTCGTGGTATTTTTAAAAGCCAGTTCACCTAGTTCTCCTGTCTCCACCCACTATTGTTGAGTGTTGGTTGTGGCTACAGCATTCATTACTCACCGTTTATGAGCATACCAGACAGCCACATTCTAAGAAGTCATCTGAAAGGTGAGACAACACTTGAGATTTTTTAAACTGATGCCTTTGTATAATCTGCCTCAATATGTGAGATCACAAGCATAGCCTGAGAGGTAATAGTCTTTCAGCAGTTAATAAAGCCTTTTATCAGTTCTTTGCACCTAGCTTGTTAAGAATAGAATGTATCAGAGAGGAGGAAAATGGCCAAAACACACGATTATCTTGGTACTAATATAAATTTTAGTTAACCCAACGATACTGTGGCCATAACTCTAGGTCTTAATCAGCTTTGGAAAAAGTCTTAGCATTGCTATTGGAGTTCAGTGGTGAAACCTGTAAAAGTTTTCACCAAACCCTTGATTCTGTCCTTAGCCCCATCTCACACTTTATACAAGGAGTGGATTCAAAGCTTTAGCTTCTCTCCCATGTCTTTCAGCTTCCTGCTCCTCACTGCAACTGGCTTCTTGGTGATGCCTCTGTATTAGAGCATTAGTCTAGAGTCTTGACAGATGATTGGGCAGTTCAACTACTAGTTTAGCATCAGGTGAGAAATGCCCATTAAGTGCCTCTTGTTTTTCCATTAACAGCATATAAATCTCAGTCTTATCCAGGCTTGAATACAGCCCAGGAAGTGTGTACCTAGAGGACTCTCTGGGATCTCTGTACATATAAAAGGGTGATTCTTCCCTCCATATTTGAAAATTTGGAGACGTAGTTTTTACCCCTCTGAGTCTGGTAGGGTTTGCTTCCTCACATGCTGGGTAAGAGCCTATCTCTTTTATCCTAGACCTTTGACATGTGTGTATTGTGGGTTTTAATACCTAGAATCATCCAATGAGCTAGATTTGGGGGGGAAGAATTTTTTTTGAATGTAGATTGATTCTGTGATTATGATAGAGGGAACTTATTTTTTAAAGTAAGTTTTATCTCCAGTGAAATGAAAATTGTTGGATTGTCTATAATTGTAGTATAAGAAATACTAAGCATTAACAAGAGACAGATCCCCATTTGGGAGTGAAGGAAGCAGACAGGAAGAGTTGAAATGGAAATATAAAGCCAAACAAAAACCTTATGGTCACAATATTTAAAATAAGTTCTGATATTACAACGTATACAATGTTGAATAAATTAAGACATGGGAATGCTGAGGTAGAAATTCTTATGAGGAATATAATATGTTTTATTCACTTTTCTGGCTAAATAAACATAGTGAACATTTAACACAAATTTCAAAAGCTGAATTACTCTTGTGTATAAGATCTGCTGTTAATTTTTTTTTTTTTTTAATGTGGTGCTGAGGATTGAACCCAGTGCCTCACATGTGCGAGGCAAGCGGTCTGCTACTAGCCACAACCCCAGCCCAGATTTTTTTTAAAAAAGCATTCACTAATAGGTCATGAAATCAAATTGTAAAGAAATGAATTAAAATGAGAAATGTCAAAATGCATCACACACATGGTAAGGGTATTGTTTGTGAAAATCTTTCAAAAATATAAATGTAAAAATATTTTAAACTGTTGTGATGTAAACATCAACGTAATTCATATTGTGGGTCATGATAGTCAGTTTCAAAGATTGTGAAGATCACTGATTTATAGGATAACATAAAATAACAAATTTTCTATGGTCATTAATCAGTATTTATTTTTCTGTGTGAAGATCAGAATTTTGTGCTCTGGATGGTGATTCTAAGCCCTTCTTTAACTATTGGTTCTATGTGGCAAATTGTTGCTAGTAGTTATAGTAGGTTATTGCCAGTGATTGTTTTTAAATCACAAGATCTTTATGTTGGCTAAGATGGAGAGATTAATGTAAAACATCCTTAATAAAGGTATTTTTGCCTTTGCAATATTTTGGACCTGTTACCAGGAAGAAGGAGAAATATCTTTTCTTTCATTACTGAATTTGGAAGTTGCCAGTTTTACAGGCTTTAGATTTTAATTTTTGAATGAAAGGCTTCCTGTTTTGTTCTTCATGGTCAATATTCCTTGCAATTTGTTGACAGATGGCACCCCATTTGGATAGCTTCTTTTTCCTATTTGGAAGCCTACTACATTGCTTCTAAAACTTTTCCAAATGGAGCAGATTCAGCTATTATTTCTCTCTGCATCTCTAACATCATCTTTTTATAGTTCTCCTTCAGGAAACACATAATACCTAGTCTAAGCTCAAGAAAAGCAGTTTAAATGGGAAGTAGTTTTATAGAATTGTCCTTCATTCAAGTAATTGCTGTTTGCTATTCTGTAATTCCTCTCCCAGGGAGAGGAAAGCTTTATGCTTTGATCATCAAAGCAGTCTCTTTTGTGCTTTTATTTGTCATTGTGATTTCTTTCAGCCCTCACTAGCATTTATTTTACAACCTGTAACACCAGGTTGTGTATGTTAGGGGTCTGCTAATGTTTTTGTTTTTGCTTTAATTATTTTATTTCTCTAGCAAATGTGTTTTTTAGGGAAGAAGATATTTCAGACTTACTGACTTTTATGTTAGGTTCATTTTTACCTTTATTGTTATCATATGAGGAAAAAAGCCAAATTCATCAGGGCAAAGTAGCCAGATTTTACCTATTTTTGGGTACTAGGAATTGAAACCAGAGGCATTTTACCATTGAGCTATACCCCCGGCGTTTTTTGTTTTTCATTTTGAGACAGGGTCTCCTTAAGTTACTTACAGCCTTGCTAAGTTGCTGAGGCTGGTCTTGAACTTGGGATCCTCCTGTCTTAGCCTCCCAAGTTTCTGTAATAACAGATGTGTGCCACTGAGCCCAGCAATCACTTTAGTTTAGTATTGTGTTTCCTGGTGCATTTGGGTAATGGCAATTGGGATTCCATGACTACTACTGTAGTTCTGTAATCTCAAAGTCTCTAAAAACCAAAAGGCTTCTCTTACTGTTCG